CTTGTATTTCTGCTCTCGCTATCTCTCTCTCTGTCAAATAAATAAATAAAATCTCTAAAAAATAATAATAATAATATTAGCTATCATTTATTTAACACTTACCATGTGCCAGGAACAATGCTAAGCCCTTACCTATAATATCTCATTTATTCCTCAAAAGAATACTTCAAAAGAGGTGTTTTCTTTCTTTCTTTCTTTCTCTCTTTTTTTTACACCAACAAATGACAAAAGAGACTCAGAGAGGTTATACATATGTAAGTAGAAAAGTTGAGATTTATATCTAGGGTGGTTTTTTTTCTATCCTATACTGTCTTATGCAATCAATGTAATGCATCAGTATTTTTAGTGTACATTATTTCTGCCGCAAGTCATTTATTAACTAATAATGGAACCTATGAGAAGCTCTCAAATATCTCTATGAGTCTTAGTCTCTTCACCTACAGAATCAGGAATTAGATGAAATTAATTCCTTGGCCCCTTCCAGCTCTAAAAACTATATACGCAAATATGAGTTCCTAGACTTTTGAGCATTTGATTTTGCAACATCATTTGCTTCTGCTTTTTTATATATTTCATACTGTGCTTATATCAAAACAACATAAAACAGTTTCCATTTCCATGACTTCTTTTCTTGAAACCACCTGACTTCTTTGAAATATGAAAAGTGAAATGAATGAAGTCACATCACCAAAGCCACAGAAGAGAAGACACTTCCTCAAACACAGTCCGCATATTTCCAACAGAGTTAATGTCACTGATTTAACTACCTATTCGAAGAAAATGCTCACTAATTAGAGTATTTTTGAAGACAGTTATGAAAGAGTTAAATTTTAGGCTATCTAATGGTGGTGCTAGCCCTTGTGCATTTGGGGGGTGTTCAACACTAGTCCCTAATATATTTGTTATTTATGAATTTTACTAAGTGTAAAATTTGAAAATACAGAGTAAAAGAGAGAGGAGGAGAAACCTAGTCCACACCCCCCACCTTTTTTATTAATAAAACAGCATAGGGCAGTGGAAGGAGCCCTTGTTCTTTTGTTGGTGAAAACTACTGTCAGGGCCCCTGGGTGGCTCAGTTAAGTGTCCGCCTTTGGCTCAGGTCATGATCCCAGGGTCCGGGGATCGAGTCCCTGTATCCATTATTACAATCATATTGTAATAATATATGGTGACAACACTTAATCATGAGCCAGCGGGCAGCCTGTTTCTCCTTCTCCCTCTGCTGTACCCACTGCTTATGCTCTCTCTCTTTTTCTGTCAAATAAATAAATCAAATTTTTAAAAAAACTGTGAATCACTTAACTCTGCATCTCAGTTTGCTAATATTCAAAATTAGCAGGTTTGAACCAAATAATATTTCAGGTTGTTTCCAGTTACGTGAATTAACCCAAAGGGCATGAAAACTGAGCAAGAAATCGCTCTTAAAATGCAGTAGCAAGTTTGAAAACCTATCCTGAAGCAAAGAAGATTAGTTCTTAGGGTGAAGGTCACAGTCCCAAATGAATTAAGAACTAAAATTTAAGCCTATTCTAATAAGGCTACAGTAGCAATGAAAGCTTTAAAATTCTAACACCAAATAGAGAACTGATTCCTGAGCTTCAACACTGAAGACACACAGAGGTTTTGATGTATTTTTCTCTACTGGCAGTGCAGAGATCAAGAGGAAACTGAGCAGGAAAAAAATCAGGACACTGAGGTCAGCACAGAAGCTAATCCTGAAAAATGTCAAAGATGGACTGGGGAGTGGAAAATAGAAAATGTAGGACTCTGTTCATAAATGTATTACCTGTGTTGCAGGATTTCCTTATAATGAGATCGTCTTCCATGATATGGTACCCAACTCTGTTCTTTCCAACCATTCTCAACAATTGTACAGATGCAAATGACAGATAAAAGTCTTCAACTTTCCCAACTAAATAATATTAATCTTTGCCCTGTCTTCACACATTTCATTTTAATGTGAAACTCAGTGTTTGTTTTTCCTCCTGACCATTTTCACTCCAGCAGGATTAGGTAGCTCGTTTCCAGACTCACTTTTTTCCATGCTTGATATTTACCGCTTCCCTATGTACCCAGCACCATGCTCCATATGCTCCACTCAAGGTAGGGTGGGTGCCTGGTGGGACGACCACACATGAGAAGGTCATTTTTCATCAGTGTTTTAACACCTGCAACAAGCTTATCAACCTTACATAGAATGACTCTGTTTATGGATTTTTTAAATCTCTTCTTAAAATGGAGAAATGATTTGAAGAAGTTCTCCTTTCTCTATCTCCCTCTTAAGCACACATTTCACAGAAAAAGGAACCAGGAAAGAACAAGACCTCACAAAATATTTAAATAGTAGGTTCAAAGTTGGGGAATAGGATCAGCAAGAAGAAAGGCAGATGAAATGAAGTCAAAGTTTCACTGATTTTTGTCTCTGTCCATGGAGAGAAGACTGCTGGTTTAGAGTCACTCTGGCCTGCCTTAGACCACCTGACACGCAGATGTAACTCCAAGGTAAGATTCCCTGGGCCAGCAGGTTTTATCCTGATGCTATCATCTGAATAAACCCTCTAGGCTTACTCCAGATCAGCTTTCTGACCCCAGAAACTACAAGGTGGCATCTCCTTATGATTCACTGAATCATATGACTCACTTGATGATTAAAACTGAATCACTTGCTGCAAGGAAATTTGGGAAAAATGCGTGTAGGTTTTTCTAGTCCCTGTGGTGGGCAGTGAGGAGGAGACCGTAAGTGGCTGTGCCATTTGCCAGAGAACAGTGCCCGCCGCAGCAACTAACTCAACCGGAAACCCAAGTGCAGGGCCTAGAGACCCTGCGTCCTCCAATATGTATCAAAAATCCCCAGATGTGAGCATTATAAAGGAAAAGTATCATTTGGGGGAAGGCCATGGCTTTGTTTTTTTAATTAAATGCTGTTGCATTAAATGGATAGGTCTTTGCTAATGATGAACACACTGTTTGAGAGAACATTCAGTGAATTCGATTAATTCTTGGGAAAGTTTTTAGAGCTTTAGTATAGAAAAGTTAGAAAAGAACATACCACTTAATGTCACTTCTGTACTACTACATTACAGTGAAGTATCTAAATTAACACAGATCAGCTTCCCGAAGTTCTTATGTCCCCGCCCCACAGGAGCACAGCGTCCCCAAGCAGAGAGGGGGGTCTACCTGAAAGACCCTGTGCCAAAGGTGTCTTTATAGCAAGACCTCAAAGTAACTCGAAATCTGGGAACTTCTGCCCCAATAAATGAACATTTAGATTTTTTTTTCAGAAATCCCTGCTGGTCCTCTGGAATTCAGTAGGGAGGCTTTGAGGAGGAAAGGAACGTGGCCTGTAGTACTAAAACAGCAAAATGACGTACTTGCTAGCTTTCGTATAACAAGTTGAGCAAAATAATAGGTAAAAAGTTATTGAGTGCTTACTGTGTGCCATGAAGGAAGCTAAGTTTTATATACATTATGTAATTTCATCCTCATAAAAACTCATTGGGGTTTAGAAAGTGAAAGGGGTTCAGAATTAAGAGTCCACAGAGCTGGTAAGTGGTCGAGAGAGAGCGAACACCCAGTTCTGTGGGACGCCAGAGCCCAGCTTCTGCCCCACTAATTTATACGCAAGCACTTTAAGACCACATTAAAAGCTCTCTAAGAATGAAGAAATCTCCTGGGTTATGTGCAATAAATCAAAGCTCCTAGGAAACTTTATATGCTATTCAGAACCACTACCCGTGTTGATTTTGCTCAAGTCCTACATTACTTTCACATGCCCTTCTAGAGCTCAGGCACACAATTGTTTAAAAAAAAAAAAAAAACTTCCCTATAATTCAGGTATCCATTGTTTTATATGCACATACACAAAAAGACTACACACACACGTCTCCATGCACACCCCACAGATTCAAACACACACCACAGAGACACACAAGACTATATATCCACATACAGGCAGACCAAAGACACACCACACAGACACAAAGACAGACACACATACACAGATAGATATACAAAGGCCATCCCCACACAGTATCAGGAATTCTTCATGCAATTTTGTTTCTCCTTTTCTACTCATGCCCCAGTCTCTCTCCCATTTCCACCATATTCATCATCTCATTCCCATCTCACTTCGTGCTGCTGGTCTGTTCTCTCCATCCCACTGCATCCCAAGTCAGGAACACAAGCTCTTTTCCTTCAATTCCCCAAGGCAACCACCAATACAAGACAGTTGTGATTAATGAGAAGGGACATTACACCATGTCAAAGCATAGCCAATGGATTAAAACTGAATATGAGACAATTCCTCATTTTAAATCCTCTGCATTATTTCTGCTCCTCAGAATATCTCATTGATCTTTTCTCCTCATCAAGCCTCCTCACCTCCCACAGTGTTTTTCCTGTGCCCCCCTCTCTGAAGACCACCCTCACTCCTCCCTCTTCTCACGGTCCCAGGCCCTTCACACAGCCTCTTTCCCAGGTCCCCACTCTTCCACTCACCATGGCCACCCATTCCATGCTTAGACTTCACTTTTTATTCAAAGCAGGCTACTAAGGTATTTTCCTGAAGAGGACCATTTTTCTACTTTGGAGAAAAATTTTGCAATTCCCTTAGAAGGCAGAATTAACTTAAAGCAATTGTGGTTTTAATAGCAATTATTTTATTTCTTCTCTCCATATATTCTTAGAATGTTTTTGCTTAGTGAAAAAAATCACTACCAATTTCCATTAAAGCAATTTATCCAATTTATCAAAAACCAATTTGTTGATATGACTGTTATATATAATAGCTATTTTCCAAAACATTCTCAGGTTCCTATTTTCAATACTATAGGAATCATTATCCAAGAAATAGGATAGTTTGGATCATCAAATACTCTGATTCATGGAGGATTATCAAAACACTACACATGAATTACCAATTTTCAAAGAAGTAACATAAAACACTGGCAGGGTTCTCCACCTGCCACAACGGAGGCACAGTGGGAAATGTTGATAAGAAATTTAACCCTGTAAACCTCACTTTATCTTCTGTTTAAATATTTGTCTTTATTAGGAAAAAAATAAATGACTTTTTTATAAAGCTCCTGGCATATAAAAAGTATAAGATAAATATCAATTCCTTGACCTCTCTCCCTCTTTTCCTTCCCCAAGTAAGTAAGAACTACCACTATATTCAACAGTACATGTTCCTCTTTGATTGATGATTTTGAAGGCACTTTACAATCTTTTGGGGGGGGCGTGGCTAGAGGGAGAGGGAGAGAGAGAGTCTTAAGCAGGCTCTCCATGCCCAGAGTAGAGCCCGAGATGGGGCTCAATCTCACGACCCTGAGATCATGATCTGAGCCAAAATCGAGTCAGATCCTTAACTGACTGAGCGGCCCAGACACCCCAGCATGTCACCCTCTTATGGTGCCCTAGCCTAGGGCTCCCAAATGAATATCAGTTCTTACCACATGCTAAAATACTAGCATTTACTACATATAATAATTAGCTCATGGGAGAAATCTAATTATAGCTCTGAATGATTACTGATTTGCAGCAGTTGTTAATTTTGTTACTCAATTTCATTAGCAACATTTGCCCTGACCAAGCCTTAGTCAGGTAAAACTGATCCTACATTGCCTTATTCAAGAAGTTATGACCATCAAGGAGGGTCAGACCTATGGTTCCTTTCTTAGAAGATATTTAGCTACCTAAATTCATTACTTCAAGTCAAAATATCCCAAACATTGTTTCTTTCACATTAATTTCATCTGTAGTATTTCTATCTTGGATGCTCAAATTAATCTGATCTTAATTCTTCATACAAAATAAAAATATAAAGCTTAGGGAAATATCTGATTTGTATTATTGTGGAAATATTATGTTGGACATTTTATTATTTTTTTTTTAGGTAGGCTCCACACCCAATGTGGGTTTTGAACTCAAGACCCTGAATTCAAGAGTCGCATGTTCTAGCAACTGAGCCAGCCAGGGGCCCTTACATTTGCCTTTTTAAAAATAGTGTCATTTTGACCGTTACTATGCAAAAATTAACTTTTTTTTTTTTTTGCTTCTTTTTTGTGGTTATTTTCTGTTTCTCTCTCTACAGGTCATTATGGATCTGGTCAACTTTACTGATTTGCTCAATGTCTCTACTTTAGTAAGAAACAGCACTCACTTTGTAGTTCCTGCCTCAAACGTGATCATTGCCTTTCTGCTGTGCATGTCAGTTATAATTGGTATCATCACCAATGGTCTCTACCTGTGGGTACTAAAATTCAAGATGAGAAAGACTGTCAATACGCTCTTATTTTTTCATCTCATTCTCTCCTATTTTATTTCAACATTGATTCTACCATTTATAGCCACCACCTACCTTCAGGACAATCACTGGAGCTTTGGAACTGCCATGTGCAAGGTCTTCAATGCCACTTTGTCGGCAGGGATGTTCGCCTCTATTTTCTTCCTCTCGGCCATCAGTGTTGACCGTTACCTTCTCACTCTTCACCCGGTGTGGTCACAGCTGCACCGAAGCCCACGCTGGGCTACCGGCATCATCCTGGGAATCTGGCTCTCTGCCACTGCCCTCAGCATGCCCTATTTGGTTTTCAGGGAGACACAGGATGACCATAAAGGAAGAGTGACCTGCCAAAATAACTATGCTGCATCTCCTAACTGGGAAAGCAAAAAGATGCAAACTTTAGGGAAAGGGATTCACGTAGCCTGTTTCATCAGCCGCTTCTTGCTGGGCTTCCTTCTGCCTTTCTTTATCATCAGTCTTTGTTACAAAAGAGTAGCCAACAAGATGAAAGAGAGGGGCCTGTTTAAATCCACTAAGCCCTTCAAAGTCATGGTGACTGCCATTCTCTCTTTCTTTGTGTGCTGGATGCCCTACCATGTACACCAGGGCTTACTTCTCACTAAGCACCAATCAGTACTTTTACAGGTGACTCAGATACTGACGGTGATAACCATTTCTTTCAATGTGCTCTTTTCTCCTATACTCTACCTGTTTACTGGGGAGAACTTCAAAAATGTTTTCAAGAAGTCCATTCTTGCTCTGTTTGAGTCAACATTCGGTGAGGACTCTTTGGCAGAAAGGACACAAAACCTAAATTCAGAAACCTACATCTAAATTTTGGATCCCAGAGGAAACAATGGATCTTCGTCAATTTTACCACCAGAGAGGTACCCTCTGCTTTTGTAGAATATAATCCCTGTATTAGAGAGACATCTAGGCTGTACCATGGCTAGATCTATGAATATTAAAAGAGCTGTAAGAAAGCAAGCAACGGGTGATGTTGCAAATATAATTATTTTTACTCTGTTTTTATTGTGGTAAAATATATATAACATAAAATTTGCCATTTTCACCATTTTAAAATGTGCATTTCAGTGGCATTAACTACATTCACAGTGTTTTGCAACCACCACCACTATTTCCAAAAATTTTCATTACCCCAAAGAGAAACTCTGCACTGATTGACTAATAACTCCTCATATCCCCCTCCCTACAACCCCTCATAACTTCCAATCTACTTTCTGTCTCTGTGAATTGGCTATTCTAGATATTCCATGTAAGTGGATTCAGACAACATTTCTTATTTCGTGTCTGGCCTATTTCACTTAACATGACGTTTTCAAGGTTCACCCATGTTGTAACACATATCAGAACCTTATTCTTTATGGTTAAATAATAGTCCATTGTATGTTTATTCCATTGTATGTTTTGTTTATCCATTCTTATGTTAAGGGACATTGGGGTTGTTTCTACATTTGCTATTGTGAATAATGCTACTGTGAACACTGATATACAAGTAGGTGTTTGAGTCCTTGTCTTCAATTATCTTGAATTATTTTGAATTACTGGGTCATATGGCAATTATATGTTTAACTTTTTGAGGAACCGCCCACACTTTTCCACAGCTGTACTGTGTTACACTCCCACCAGCAATGTGCAAAATTTCCACTTTCTCCACACCCTTACCCACACTTATTATTTTCCTTTTTTTTTCAATGATAGCTATCCCAGTTGGTGTAAAATGGTGCAAATGTGATTCTTAACCTCTGATTTTTGAGGCTATAGGAATATCAATTTCTAAATAGCAATAGTGTCTATTGATCTGACTTTTCTGTCACAAAATCTTCTAGCAAATAGACATTTGGAACAAGATCCCTCTTTATTTACATAGCTCCTAAATTATTTAATTGGTATGGACAAAATTTAACATGGGGATGACAAAACACTGATCTTTTCATATCTATGTTAAAGGATAAAGAATTTATACCATAATGTATTCAATGTAAAGGTATCTTAAATGTCTCTTTTCAAAACCTATATATTGAACTGTCTCAGAAATATGTGACTAAGATAATTATAAATGTTTAAGAATCTACCTGGGTAGAGGGGGGAAAGATGGCCGAGGAGTAGGGGACCCTATTTCAGCTGGTCCCCAGGATTGAGCTGGACAACTACCAGACCACTCTGAGCACCCACGAAACCAGCCTGAGATGTAAGAAGATCTGGATCTCTACAAACAAAATATCGCAGGCAGTTGGTTTTGAGGTATGAAGCAGGGAGCCGTGATTCGGCAGGCAGATATAGGAGGATAAACGGCAGGGGGAGGGTGCCTGGATGTGGGGATCCTACACCGCCGGTGAGTGACAGCCTCGCGGCTGTGAACGGGGCACAGACTCGCAGACCCGTAGCGTTGGGAAAGGACTTGAGGGCAGCCCCCGGGGTGGAAAACCAGACCAGTGGGGTCGCGCGCACGCGAACTGCAGTCCCCAGACAGAACCCCAAGCGGCGGAGTCACGCGCGCGCGAACTGGGAACAGCTGGTGGGGTTTAGAAGCACAAAGGGCAGAGACGTGCCCCGACCTGGAGGCAGGACTGGAAGCGCTGCGGAGGGGCGCACAACCCAGAAGCTGCAGTTTATAGCAGCACGGACAGAAACGGAGACAGTGTGGCCTGGAGAGCTCACTGAAGAACAGACTGCG